CCATCCATCCATCCATCCATCCATCCATCCATCCATCCATCCAATATCTTTTGCCCACTTCTTCCTTTTGGGTCACAGGGGTCAATGATGCCCACACCCAGTAGTCACTGAGGCAGAGACCTGGACAGGTCTCCAGTCCATCACAGGGACACATAGAGACAAACAAGACAAACAACCATTCACTCTCTCTCTCACACCTAGGGACAATTTAGAGTTACCAATCAGTCTAACATACACGTTTTTGGTCTGTGGGAGGAAACTGGAGTACCCAGAGAAAAGCCATGCTTGCACGGAGAGAACATGCAAATTCCACTCAGAAAGGCCCCTGGACCAGAATTTGAACCAGGTAACCTGCTCCCTGAGAGGCAGCAGATCTACCAGTTGCACCACCGTGTTGCCCTTGTTAGGTATTATCATCCTAAATTTGCATTACATGCCAAGTCCAAGTCAAAGTTTCTTTATTTGTCATTCACACCACATGTGGTACATGTGGTGGAACAAAATTGTGTACACAAGGTCCCAGTTACATCCAACTAAAGTATAAACTGTAAAGAAAAACAGTAGTAAGATCTAAGATATGAACTAAGAAATACGCTAAACTAAGAATACACTAAGCACTAATAGTACAAAAACAATACGCCGAGCAGCAGCATTAACATGAGTCTGTGAGAGCAGAAGAGTACGAATGAACACAGCAACGTGAACTAAATCAGCAGCATAATATCAGCAACATGGATAATCAGCAGCACATACAATCAAGTGGCATTACAGTGATTTTTTTTTTTTCACAGTGATTATTCTAGTTAGAGATTCATGAGTCTAATAGCTGCAGGGTAGAAGTTGTTCCTCAGTCTAGTGGTTCTACACTTAATGTTCCTTAACCTCCTTCCTGAGGGGAGCGGGGCAAAAAGTGTGTGTGCTGGGTGAGTGGGGTCCTTCATGATGCAGGTGTATCTCTTCCTGCATCTAGAGGTGTAAATGTCTGTGACGGCGGGGAGACTGACTCCAACAGACTTCTGTGCAGCCTTCACCACTCTCTGCAAAGCTTTTCTTTCTGCAGCTGCGCAGCCTTCATGCCACACGTTGATGCTGGAGCACAGGATGCTCTCCACTGCACACCTGTAGAAGGAGGTGAGGACTGAGCTTCCCAGACCAGCTCATCTCAGCCGCCTGAGGAAGTAGCGTCTCTAATGAGCTTTCTTGATCAGGTTGGAAGTGTTGTTGCTCCAGCTGAGGTTGTTGTTCAGCTGAACACCCAAGTACTTGTAGCTGGAGATCACTTCCGGGGGGGGATTTGTTCCGTCTGAAGTCCATGACCATCTCCTTCATCTTCTTCACATTGATGTGAAGGTTGTTCTTCCTGCACCAGCTCTCTCCTGCCTATAGTAGGACTCTGTTGTTTGTGATGCATCCCACCACCACTGTATCATCTGCAAACTTTACAATATGACAGCCTGGATGGGTAGCTGCACAATCATACATTAGCAAAGTGTACAGGAGTGGGCTCAACACACATCCCTGAGGAGAGCCAGTGCTGAGGGTTATGGTGGAGGAGGAGAAGTTGTGGATCCTCACAGACTGAGGTCTGTTTGTTAAGAAGTCCAGGACCAAGTTGCAAATGGAGGAGCTTAGTCCTAGTGTGAATAGTTTGTCCATCAGGGTTTGGGGGATCATGGTGTTGAAGGCAGATGTGAAGTCCACAAAGAGCATACGGACATAGGAGTCCTTCTGCTCCAGGTGGGTGAGAGAAGTGTGGACCACAGAGGAGATGGTGTCCTGTGTTGATCGGTTCTCGCAGTATGCATACTGATGAGGGTCCTCGTTGATGTTGATGGTTGTTTAGATGTGGGTCATGACCAGTTTTTCAAAGCATTTAGTGACCATCGGGGTGAGGGCCACTAGCCAAAAGTCATTCAGACCAGTCACTGTAGAGCTCTTTGGAACTGGAATGATGGTGGCAGTCTTCAGGCAGGTGGGAACTGTTGCCAGGGTGAGGGAGGAGTTAAAGATGTCAGCCAGCACCTTTCAGAGCTGATCGGCACATTCTTTTAGCACATTCCCGGGGATGTTGTCTGGACCAGTTGCTTTGTGAGGATTAATCCTCCTGAAAGTACTCCTTACTTCGGCTAAGGTCATGCTGAGGTCACGCTGAGGTCACGCTGAGGTCACGCTGACATGTGACGTGGACAGAATTGGCCAAAAATCTGATTTATTCAACATTTCTCCTAACATTTAACTTTTTTTTTCCCATTTTCAGCTCCGACACAGTAATTTACAAGAAAAGTCACAACAAAGTTTTCCTAATTAAAAAAGTAAAATTGTAACTTTATTATTTTTGGGAAAACAAAACTAGTGGAAACGATTATATATGAAAGACCAGCATTACTGTTAGGAATACACATTGTGTGATGCCTTTCAGGCCAGAGTTTAAATTAGGATCATTTTAGGATTAGACGGAAAGAGTAGTTGCTGTTGTGGTCAAACCTTTTACATAACAAGTGATCTCATGCAGTACTGTGAGATCTTGAACAACAGACGTTAGCGCTCGATGTTGTTTATGGCTCCACATTTAGTGATTACTTTCTGAAAGTTTACTTAAAGTAGTTTTTGAGCTTGCAGAAGATTTGTAAACTTTTTGATTAAGCTAGATTTGACCAACACACAAAAAACAAGACTCAAGAGCATCATGGTTAGGTAACAGGACTGCAGTGAAACACACTCCAACCTTAGAACGACACAAACCTCTGCAAGTTTTTCTCTTTCAGCTGCTCCCCAACACTTCTGCAGGGGTCTCCGCAGCGAATGAACTCATATGAACGATTTTGCAATTGTTTTCGGCTGCTTGCTCTTCCTGACACAACTTGAGCTTGAACCTGCAACCTCAAGATTTCAAGAACATGGCACTAACCACTGGACCACTGAGCCACTGCAGCACCACACAAACCTCTGCAAGCGTCTCAGCTAAATGTGCCGTTCTGCTTCAATTCTAAACAGATTTAAAGACAGACACGGAGCTAATTCCTCTAAGCAGCTGTAGAGTATTACTGTTTTATGTTCCCTATTCCAATAATAATTTATGGTTTGGTGCGCATTTATTAAATAATATACTGTGTCATCAAAAGCACACGTCATATTTGTGAATCTAAGCATGTATGCTGAGAGTTAGGTATATTTAATTTTAGTTACAGCATTGTGCAGATTCTTTATTTGGCTTTGTTGATGCCTAATCAAACAAACCTTGTTAAATATACGCTCCATGTTTGTATTAATCAGGGTCATAACTTCAGCTGACCGCTGTTGAACTGGACCGACCATGCTAGAATTTTAACTTTCTCTTTATTTCTTTATTTGTTCTTGTCCCTTTTCTTCCCTTTTTAATACACCACCACAAAAGACAGCTGACTTGTTTAATTCTTTAGTGCACCCCTTATTTCAGAAAACCAACACAGATTGTCTTCACACAGCTGATCTAAGACTTGTGTGGGCATACTGGTACTTTAATGGGCGGAGGCAGGCAGGCAGGAGAGTGGCTGGCAGAGTGGGGTGAGACTGGACCGTCATGGTGTTCAGCTCTGTCTGCTGCTGACGCCTCTGATTGGCAGCAGCCTAAAGGTGAGAAGACCAAGATGAGCAGAACATGCATGTGATTAATTAGCTCTCGACTGAGCGGAGCGTTGACTTAGAATGTCAGATGTGAGACACCATCCAGTCATCCCAGTCAGTGTCAGAGAAGAGACTTTCTGCCATCTCACTCCAAACTGTGCTGCTTTTTTTTTTTTTTTTTTTACCAACGCTCCTGCATGTTTGTCCACTTACTGCAGGAGGGACATAAAATTAGATCATCTTTACTGGCTTACCACAAATTGAATATACCAGCTATGATTACTATTGTCGACCGCTAATAGGCGAAATTCAGGCGATAATGTAAATGGATGTACTTCTTCAACTTATTAACTTTTAGAGTCAACCCTATTTAAGACGGCTGCCACAGCTATTCAATCATAGCAAAATCCGATAAGTCGATTTGACAGATTTTTAGCTAAAATCTGATGTTGTAGTAGCTGAGAGTAATCCCCATTGCATAATTTGATAACAACACTTTGCACAACCTTATTCAAGATGGCAGCCACAGCTAACTGACATTAGCTAACGCAACACTGGCTATAACGCAGTCAGGTTTACAGATGCTGAGCTACAGTTGGTGTGGTAGTAGATGGTAGTCATCCACATCACATAATTGAGCACTAACATGAGAGCTTTGTTATGAGGTTTTTTTTTGGTTAGCGTCTTATCCATCAATATGTCAGATTAAATTTCTGCCTCTTACACACAGAGGGAGGATATTAAAAAAATGTGCAGAACAATAACTGAAGCGTCTGGTATGGACTTAAAGTTTTCAGAGACCTCAGTGATGTGAGGTAGCTTTCTGCGTGCAGTAGTACGTGAATGTTTTGAATGGAGTTCCTGCTCCAGTCGCCCTTTGCTAAGTGTCTTAATGACATCAAGACTTGGATGGCTACAAACTGCTTGAGTTTTAATGATCAGAAGAATGAAGTCCTCTGATCCTGTAAACCTGGACTCCCTTCAGCCTTAACTAAAACAGTCTGTTACCAACCTGGGGATAGTTTTAGACTCGGACTTGAAGTTTATTAAACAGATCAACTCTGTTCTTCAAAAAAGTTTCTTTCATCTAAGGCAGATAGTTAAGCTTGTCCATGTTGACCAGATCCAAAGTTGAAAAATGAGTCCACGCATTCATTACAACCCGGCTGGACTACTGTAACTCACTTTATGCTGGGGTCAGTCAGGTCTCCTTCTCACGTCTCCAGCTCGTCCACTAACAGGAACGCGCAGGTTTGAGCACATTTCACTGGTTCTGTCCTCTCTTCACTGGCTCCCTGTGTGTGTCAGAATTGATTTTAAAATTCTCCTGCTGACATTTAAGTGCGTTAACGGCCTTGCACCTTCATACCTCTCCGACCTTCTCCATCCTTATGCTCCTTCTCGGGCTTTGAGATCATCAGACCATCTGCTTTTGGTGGTACCAAAAACCAGATTGAAGCTCAGAGGAGATCGAGTCTTTTCAGTCGTGGGCCCTAAGCTCTGGAACAATCACCAACATTAGACAGGCCGCTTCAGTCTCTGCTTTTAGAACTCTCCTGAAAACTCATCTGGACTCATTGACATTTAACACGGTGTGATCTGATTTAGATTTAGTTTTTCATTGATTCTGATTGTGTTTATGCTTTTTGTTGTATTCCTATTTAACACACGGTCAAATGATCTGATTTATTATTTCGTTCTTTCTGACTGAGTTCATGCTTTTTTTGTTATTATTCCATGACAGTTGACACAAGGTGATCTGATTCAGTGTTTCATTGTTTCTAACGATGTCTTGTGTTTTTATATTTTTAATCCATATACTTTAATTACATCTTGTTACTTTTTATTTGATGTTGTGATCTTTTTGTTAAGCACTTTGGTAACAGTTTCTGTTTTACACGTGCAATATAAATAAATCGGACTTGACTTGACTTGAACGGACCATCACTGGTTTTGGTTTCTGTCCACATGAATCGTGCAGGAGTGACCAGCTGAATGTGGGAGACTACATCAAGTCAGTAAATGGCATCAACCTGTCAAAGCTCCGGCATGATGAGATCATTAGCCTGCTGAAGAACATCGGGGAGCGCGTCGTGTTAGAAGTGGAGTACGAGCTGCCTTCATTCGGTAAGTGATGCCACGACATGAAAATGCTCTGGACGCTTTATGGCAAAGGCATTTTGTTTTACTATTTTAAGGCTGATCTAGATGTTTCTATGACAAGAAAGAAGCCATATATATATATATATATATATTGTGTAAACATTAACTATGAGGGAATAAATCATCTGAACTACAAAAATCAAATGATATCAAATGTTGTCATGTGTTTACATTCACCCTGCAAGACACATGCATAAAACCACACAGAAAACCTCCGTGCACTTAAGGAAACATGAGTGAAAGCTGTCACAACAGGGTGTTATCATTAAGTTCAAGGAAACGTGCTGTCAGGCATTGCTCTGAAGCACCGGCTCTCTTGGTGGCAGCAGCAGCAGAAAAAAAAAAAACAGCTAAAAGGATCTACACTCTTTCCTCCAACGTCTAATTTGAACACAACTTGGACACTTGTATGATGTAATAACATAAAATCAAGTTGTTCAGTCTGCAGACAAAAAGATGAATGAGCAAGCTTCTAGATTTCACTTGATCTAATAAAACACATTTCCGGGAAGCTTCTTCCTCATTTCACCTTTTTAGGCAAAGACATTTTGCAAAGCTACATAAAAATATGTTTTTTTTTTTTACATGCAGAATAAACGCAAATAATTAAATTATCTGTTAAAGGAAATAAAGGCTCAGAATCTTAATACTTCAGTAAAATAAAATACGTGTTAAATGACAGATGACTCATTCTGGAGTGGGTGGAGAGAAGAATGAAAGTTTGGTTAGGACCAAGTTTAGAACATACTTTTTCCTTTCCTTGTTTTTATTTATTTATTGCTCGAGTTTGATTTTACTCAGTTTTCACTTTGGTTTGGTCAGACATCATAGCTTTTATTTACTAGTAATGTCTAGGCACTAAACTAGTCAATTAAATTCTTACGTTTGTGGTCCTGGTTCAAATTCCACATCAGATAATAATGCAGAAATACGCTTAATAATTAACAGTTTTTAAATTAGATGTCTTAAAAACAGCACCATATGACAGCATCATCATTAGAATGAGAAAATTGTATATATTTAACAATCTGACATCCTGTTTTCCCTCCTAACTGTTTGGTTTAAAGATGCCACAATACTAAAAGAAGGACTGATACAATGTTTTTTACATCACAGGAGAAAATGTGTTTTTTGAGCAGGTAAGTTGAAAACATATATACACATATGCATACTTGAGCATTTATTTGCATTTGGAGCAATTATTTGTATTAAATTTGGTTGTTAATGTCGTACATAGACACAATGTATACGTGTGGAAATTTTAAATATGGAACACTCAAACTTGAAAGTTTACAATGGCAGCAGGATGTAGTTCTTGAGACGCACACTCAATCCAAAAACAAGATTATCGGCTTCAGGTCTTGACTTCCAAACAAAGCAGGTCACTCTGAAGAGGTTAAAGGCCCAGCCTTTCTTTTTTACACGCTGGTTTCTTCAAGTCTGCGTTCTCTGTGTTTTCAGATCCTTTTGTCAGGAAATAACCAAAAGGTTGCGCACGTGTTAATTAGACTCAGTTTGTACCGTGCTTAGGCTCTGCTGACATGTGCTAAAACAAAGAATCATCGGTTCTCTTGAAACCTCTGGAGTAAAACGTGACCAAATTAGCACGTTCATCTGAAGTTCTTCAACAAGAATATCACTCTGGGTTTAAGCTATCAAGGCATGAGTAAATGTTGGTTGACATCGATCTTTACTAAGGCTGTTAATCATCATAAATCACTTGTTGTGTGAATGTTTGTGAACCAGTGATCCAGTTTTCTTCCGTACATTTTTCTGCACTTTTCTCATCCTGTAGTTTCCGAGCTGTTTCAACAAATTGTAAATCAAAACGTTCAGCTCTTTCAGCACAGTCCTGCTATGACTTTTGGTATTGGTGCAGCTTTAGCTTTGTGAATTATTTAGCCTTTTCTGCCAATTTTTTTCTCATAGAAAATGAACTGAGCTCATTTTACATCCTTCAAATCTTTACATGTGTTTTCAACCTTTTTCGGCTTCTTTCACATTTTGTTCAGGTTCAGCTTCTTTCAGCTTCCTTGTGAAAATTTAATGTTTTTTCAGCTATTTTCAGCTAATTTCAGCTGCTTTTTCAGCTGTTTTATGCTCCTTTCAGATTCTTTCTGCTAACTACAACATGTTAGTGCTTCTTTAAACTTCTTTCTGCAAATTTAAGCTTTTTCTACTATTTCCACTACTATTTAGCTGTTTTATGATAATTTCAACTTTTTTCAGCCTAATTCAGCAAAAATGTGCTCTGTCCAGTTTCTTCTTTAATTTCAGCTGCTTTCTGCTTTTTTATCTACTTTTCAGCTGTATTCAGATAATTTCTACTATTTGTGCTCATTTATGCTTCTTTTAGCCTAACTGTGCAAACATGTTCTTTCTGCTTTCTTATGCTTGTTTTAGCTTTTCAGCTACTTTTTAGAAAATTTTTAGCTAATGTCAGCTGTTTTCAGATCACTTGAAATTTTCTTGGTCATTTCTGCTACTTTCAGCCTAATTAATGTATTTCTGTTAATTTCAGCTTGTTATGCTCATTTCAGATTTTTTCTGCTATTTCAGCTATTTAGCTGTTTTATGCAAATTTCAGCTTTTCAGTTAAATCCACATTATTTGAGTTCATTTCAGCTCTTTCCACTTTCTTCTGGTAGGTTAAGCTTCTTTCTGCCTTTTCAGCTACATTTCAGATGTTTTTGCTAATTTCAGCTTTTTTTTGATGATTTCCTAATTTAGTGCTAATTTCTGCTTATTTAAACCTAATTCAGCTATTTTCCCCCGCTTTCTTCAGCTAATTTAGGCTTGTTCTTTCATTTCAGCAAAATTTCATCATGTTTTTAGCTAATTTCAATGTTTTTTTCAGCAAGTTCTTCTGCAATAAGCATTGACACTTAATTTTCGCAGGAAATCATTTTCTCTATAGATCACAATGTATTTTTGTTCATTTTTAAAATCCAGCTCCTCTCAGATAAACTCTGAAATAAACTAAAATAATAATTTAAAAAAAAGGTCAAAAATTTGTCAACACTTAATCTAATATTTTTCTCTTTATCTTGTAGTCCAGAACCCGTCAGGAGTCGTAACCAAAACCATAGAGGTGCTTTTACATAAGGAAGGAAACAGTTTCGGCTTCGTCATCAGAGGTAGGAGACATTAATGTTTCCCATCTCTAAATGAAAAAGTTAATTATTTTTCTCTTTAAGGAGGTTTCCATGAAGACTGGCGCAGGTCTCGCCCTCTGCTGGTCACTAGCGTCAGGCCCGGTGGTCCTGCTGACAGGTCAGGATGTCAACATAAATCCTTTTGAGAATATTCTGCAATTCCAACTGAACTGTTTATCTGATTTATTTGCTTTTTAATGTATTACACATTATCCATTAATATGCTTGTTTTCTGATTGTGTGCATGAACATTTGCAGCCAATTCGTTGCATTTTACAAATTGCCTGATTTTTGCACACAATTAAAACATAACTCTGTAATCCATGTGAGATTAGACTTTGAGCATCATTGCGTCTCACTGACTTCACCCCTCCTGTAAATCTACGTGGACATTGCTGTGTTTGTTACTCGGGCACTGCATGAAATTGTGGCTGTGACACATAAAGTATCTTCAAAGCAGAAAGGGCACTGCTCATCCTGAGGCTAGCAGCACAACAGTGCACTTTCCCTAAAAAAAAAAAAAACAACAACCAGAGCACCGTAAAACACTGAAGCAAACATAATTCAGCATCAAAGCATCATTTATCCTGTTTATCCTTCATCTCAGCTGGGAGGAAAAACGCTCACTGCTTAATCGTTCACTCTGACTGGTGCTTGAACGCTTCTCTGAGCACACTGCTCAAGTAAGGTTTTATTCTTTTCACCATTTTCTCTTCCAGAGAGGGCACTCTGAAGGCCGGAGACCGAGTTCTGAGCATAGACGGGATGCCTCTGAACAGAGAGAGGCACGCTGACGCTTTGACCATGCTGATGCAGAGCAGCCAGGAAGCTTTGTTCCTGATTGGGTATGACGTTTCTGTCATGGGTGAGCACACACACACACACATATGCACACACACACACACAGGGCAGCGGTTCTTTGAGGGTAAATAATGTGGCTGTTTGGCTGCATGGAGACGCCACCAGGCGAGACGCACAAGAAAGAGATGCAGATTAAGCAGGAAAAGGTTAGAAATACGATACTGCAACACATTTTTTTTGTCTCTCTGAAACGTGGCATTTAAAACACAATTCAAAAAGGATTTTACTTTTTGCTGCTGGAATGCTGATATTAGTGAACATGGGATTATAAAAGGTGGTTGGCATGAGAAAATGTTGTGATGATAAATATATCAAAAGACAAGATGGCAACCGTTCAGAACAATGCACCAACCCTTTGTCTTTTATTATGTAGGTTTAAAGGTTATTTTTAATTATTTTGTTCAGTAAAGGTCTTTAGAAACCTCAGATATCTCACACATTGTTTCAAGGTAACTGGGTACTCCATTGATAAAATATCCATCAAGATGTCTTGATTAAAAAATAGTTTGTCAAAACATCTCAAATTTATAACGTTCAAAAATTGGGGTTCAGGATCCCATTGTGGGTCATTAGACATCATTCATTGAGATGGTCTTTAGTACAAATAAAACAAACAAACAAAAATCAATTTATTACACATAATGTATTTTATAATAATATATATATTTATGATGTACCTTAGTTTGAGATATTTCAGGGAAAGTTGCCTAGCCACAGCCAAGAACTAAACCACTGCTTAGGGCCCCAACACCAGCAGGAGGTCCTCATTGTTTCTAGTTGAACTGCAAAGATTTTCTTTTCAATAAAAATATTTGTTAAAGTTTCAAAATCATTACAGATATCAATATTAATGCTTGAATTAATAACTTAATTTATAATTTGAATCTTAAATGTTATTTTTTTGTGAATATTATCATTTTAAATTATATTTTCAAATAGGAATTGGGAGAGATCATACCTTAGATCATTAGAGGTACATTTCTAAGTTAGATTTATTTCAGGTGTCCGGTCTCTTTTGAGGTTCTTTCAGGTTGTTCAGAGTTCAGGTCTCTCTCGTAAATGAGTCCCCAGCTCAATGGGATTAACCTGTATAAATAAAGGTTGAATGAATTGGCATAGCAAAAAAATATTTAGTGGAATGATAAATAAAGGTAAGATTAAAGGACCAAGGACCAGCCCTGCGGTAGACCAAGCCTAACTTCAAAGAGTTGTGTTGCAGTTTATTGCAGTATTGCTGCAACCACAAGCAATTCAATGTTTCACCACATTAATGATGCTTTTACAACAACTTGGCCTCTCGCTTTATGGTTTCATGTTTTCTGTTTGTTCAAAGAAACACCAGGGAGTTTCTCTTTGGCGTCACTTCCACGAGCACAGTGACCTCGCAAAGTTCTCCACAGAAATATTCATATATTTATTTATTAACCTTAAATAAAGGTTAATAAATAAATATGTCCATTTTGTGACAAAATGTTTATTTTTTAAATTTTATATAAAAAAAATGTTTTTAAGTTTTTCTACTAATATGCAATAGTGCCAAATTTCTTAAATGTTACAGTGTTTTTTTTTTTCTTTCCAGTTTTTGCATTTGTAAGAGAAACATGTCACAGGCATTTTAAGTTGAGCTTTCTTTGGAAAAATACAAAAGAAACCATGAAAACACAGTTCCTTCAAACCTCAGTGATTTTCCAAACAGATTAAAAATATGTTGTTTACTGTAAACGTGTTTAATTTCAACATAATTTGTCTCTAAGTTTACTTTGGGCACAATTAACACTTCACATCTGCAATCTAAGCCTTTCCATTTCAATTTACTTGGTTAATATTAAAACAGATATTGTTGTTATTTGTTTAAAAACTGCACTCAACTGCACCGTGCAAAAGTCTTTTTTTATATAAAGTATGAAAATAAGCCACCAAACACAGTATGGCTACCCTGCTTATAACTTTGAGTTGGTTGTGGTGACTAATTTTCAAAGTTGCGCTCTTTGCCCCCCTCTGTGCAAACCAGGGCTGGTCAGTAAGGAAAGTTAACACGCATCATCTCTGGGTGGGAAGTTTAGGATTCAGACTTTCTGCCTTCAACCCAAACCAACCAGATCATTCAGTAATTAAAATATAATCTGTAAATAGTTCACGTTGCTCTTATACGTAGGCTCCATCTCCATAATATTGTGTTAAAAATCATTTGTGGAAATCCCGTTATTCAGTTCTGAGCAGCGCAATGTTTTTTTTTAAATTATTATTATTATTAATCCTGCAGCAGATCAGTACTTGCTCGAAAACGTTGACATCTTGTAAATGTCATAACAAAATGTCTCTGACTTGGCTCGCATTAAGAATTGCATCAAAAAGACAGAAAACAGCAAATGATTTGTTTTTAATGTCATTTTTCATTATGATTAATAGAATATGCACTAACCATGTAAAAATAGACTATATTTGATATGTTTTCCATTCTTCTATTCAATCATCTTCTCTTTTTTTAGCAAATAAATAAAATAAAATTGTTCTGTTATTTTTGACTGCAAAAGCTGATTATTTTGTAAAAAATGTGATTTCACATTTAGTCATAGCTTTTTAAAAACCATGACTTCTGATGTCATTAAAATACATAATTACCTTCTCACATTCACTGTGATATTCTTTTTACTATTAAAATGTGACAATTAGTTTGTTTGCATTACTATAAACAAAAAGTTGAAAAATAAAGCCTATTTGAGACAGTTAGCTCAAAAAGTGAGAGCTGCAGCGAATTTAAAGCTAAATGAGTGATCTGATTTTTTTATATTTATATTTATTTTTATCTGTTAGATCTGTAGCTGGAGGGTGCAGGTCTCTGTAATGTGTGTGTGTGGTGTGTGTGTGCGTTGTGTGTTTCAGAGGCAGTGCAGCAGGCCTCGGGCCCTCTGCTGGTGGAGATACTGAAAGGCCCCTCAACCAGCCTGGGCATCAGCCTCGCAACAACATTATACAGGAACAAACAAGTGATTATTATCGACAAGATCAAGCCTGCGAGCGTAGCAGAGAGGTGCTGCAAACACTTCAACGGTCACTACACATTAGAGCATTTCTTAACACAACGTTCTCACTCAGGTGCGGCGCTCTGCATGTAGGGGACGTCCTGCTGTCCATCGACGGGACCAGCACAGAGCACTGCTCCCTGATGGAGGCCACACAGCTACTAGCCAGCACCTTGGAAATCCTTAAGCTTGAGATTCTTCCAGCCAGCCAGAGCAGACTTCCCATCAGGCCGCAGGACACAGGTACGACACAGGGACAGAACAGGGCCTTCAGAGATTCTGCTTCTTGGGAGAAATAAATCAGCTGTGAAGAAGAAGAAGAGCGGAGGCTGAATAAACATCGCCTGCAGCTTCTGATTATTTACAGTCTTGTTGCTGGTTAGTCATTTTCTTAGACTATAAAATGTCAAAACATTATTAAAAGAAGGCTATAAAGTGAAACACCACCCTAAGGTTCTTTGTTTTATGTGTTATGTTGTTTAATATTAAATATTGGATCCAATAAATGGTTAGTTCTGCCTGCTACTGCTGGTGGACAAACAGAGGCTAAATCTGCAACGCAAGCAAAGAATTTCCAGCAGAATAATCTCAGTTGACTTGCTTATCTCATAAAAGCGACATCCATGCGGTAGTTTGTAGAAATGCTGTTCTCACCTTATCTGGTGTTTTTTTTTGTTTTTTTTTACCCGCAGCTGTAAAGAGCTTGGCTGCCTCTTATTAGCTGCCTTTTCTCGTGCACTCCAGATCAGGCCGGGTGTGTTGTTGTGTGTGTGGCACAGCGATGGCCCCAATCCCGCTGGCTTTGGGCGCACACTCTTATGCATACAAACGAGCTACACAGAAACCCACACAGCCGTTTTCTCTGTCAGGGATCATGTTGTTGCCACATTTTGCAGACTTATTCTTCTGGTCAGCAGCAGCAGGGAGGCTGCACAAAAGATACAGGAAGAAGCACACAAAAGGAAGGATCAGCAGAAAGAAACAAGACACAGTTTAACATAATGCAGAGCAGATGATTGTGGGAAATGCATTCACAAATTTCAGATTTTAGTTTGTTTTATGCAGTTGCACATTAAAGTTTAGTCCATTTCAAAAAGCTGGCACAGAATCATGTTTAACATGGAGTTTCATTGCCTCTTCCTTTAACGCCACTTTGTCAACTTTTAGAAACAGAAGCGACCAACTGCAGTAGTCAGAGTAAAACCAAAAGTCTCCCCACCATCACAGACATCTACACCTCCAGATGCAGGAAGAGGGCCACCTGCATCATGAAGGACCCCACTCACCCAGCACACACACTTTTTGCCCCGCTCCCCTCAGGCAGAAGGTTGAGGAGCATTAAGTGCAGAACCACTAGACTGAGGAACAGCTTCTACCCTGAGGCTGTTAGACTCAAGAATCCCCAAACAAGATAAATACTGTAATGCCACTTTAATTATTGATATTTGACTTATCTGTGCTGCTGATTATCACATGCTGCTGATTATCACATGCTGCTGTATTCATTCATACCCATCTGTTCACCACAGACTCATGTTCGGGCTGCTGTTGATATGCCGTATCGTTTTACATTATTAGTGTTTAGCATACATCTTAGATATTTAAGCGTATTGTTTAGTGGTCGTTTAGCGTTTGTTTACCTTAGATCTTTTAGTGTATTGTTTACCATTCGTTTAGCATATATCTTAGATTTTTTAGCATATTTTTTAGTGTTTGTTTTGAGTTAGTTTAGCGTACACCTTAGATCTTTTAGTGTATATCTTAGTGTACATCTTAGATCCCTATATACTGTTTCCTTTTACACTTTAGATGTTGCTATTTTTGGGTGTAACTGGGACCCCGAGTACATAATTTCGTTCCACCTCATGTACCACATGTGATGTGAATGACAATAAACTTAATTTGAACTTGAACTTGAAAATTGAATTATTAGTGGTAAAATATTTCAGTGTCTGAACCTTTCAGGACTTCCTTGCTAATTCTTTACATTTTTAAAATGTCACAATGTTAGCATTCGAGCTCTTGTGCAGTCATTGTGTTGTAATGTGTGCAGCAAGATAGCCCGTTTACGTCATCAGCTTTCATGACACCTTTTGTTGCACTGTGTTGAAGATTTTTAATTTGCATTTCTGGATGTAACAGAGACATAAAATAAACTTTCCACTACTAATAAGTAGTGAGTCTGTTCCTGTTGATCACTGACATTTTCAGCACATTGCTTATCGGCAACATTGCATGCGTGTCTTCTGTAAATTTTCTTTCAGTAACAGCACTTAACTGAGACACACTGTCATTTTGTTAAGACTCTATCCTCACAGCTCCTCTCCTCTCTGTTGAGGCATGATTAGAAGATGCAATTTGTTTAATCTGCTCAGAGGATTTAATACGACTGATACGGACACTCACAGATTAGAAGGTAATGTTTCATTCTGCCAGCAGAGACTGAAAGCGTCACTTCTCACAGTGCCCAAGGTGAGCTCAGCATAAGCTGGCAGATCTTCTCCGACTGGTTTGAGTTGAACACAAACTGGTTTTCTGAAAAGGTCCAGAGGTGCTGCATTTTGTATCCTGATCACATTTTGTAGGATTTGACCAGGTTTTCCATTTACGGCAAACACCCCACTAGTCAGCAATCTTTCCAAGAAAATCCTCCATCCGTGGGAGCAAGTTTTCAGCGATTAGACCCTTCCAAAGGAGGCAGTGAGGATTACCGTCACATGTAACATTCAGTGACAGATACAGCTGCATGAATCTGAGAGTTAATTATTGAGGCGGGTGTCATGCAGTGGGTCAGCTGTTCTTCTCCGATGGCTTTGTGAAAGCGGCTTGAATAAATCTAGGACATAAACGATGATGTCATTCAGCATAAACAACTGATTTAAATGTGTAGGTTTTAATTTAACATCTGGAAAAGCAAACAAAAGAATCAAGATAAAAGACATTAAGAGCAGCAGTCAGATGCAGAGGCAGGAACTCTGCATGAGCAGCCATCAGGCTCTCTGCTGCACCCAATCAAGGACAATCCTCCTCCCTCCAAGCAGTCAGTGTGACGTCCTGATCCCATCCAGCAGCTCACTCCCACTGTTTCTACACCTCTGGGCTTGTTTTAAAGAATGAAACGATCAAAACGATATTTGGTTTGCACTCAGCTTTCTGGAGGCTTGCTAGTAAATGTAACAGTTTGTATTTTATTTAAACTTTTTCACCGTTTTCCCTAAAACTCTGTGCGCCTTATTGATTCTCTGAGGCTTCAAAAATACATTCAAACGCAGGATTTAATGTAGTGTGCCGTTCCCGGGACGTTAAATATCAATTACGCATCCCTGAGTGATCCTGCTAGGTGCTGTGTGATGTGGTCCAAATTTAGACACGAGCATAACAGTGTGACAGTTCTTGCTTTTTGAACAGGTTTTAAATCTACAGTGCGCTGTTTCTTTAATTCACCTGTTTTCCTCCTTGCTGATGCAGTTAAAGTGCAGAAAAGCAACCATCATCCCTGGGACCAAAGCAGCAACTACTGCCACCCCCCACATGCCAGCTACAGCAAGACGTGGAGCAGCCCGAGCCACCCACACAGCCAGCAGGACCTCTGCAAATGTAAGTTATCACATGTGACAGCTCTGCTGCTGCTGCTGGCCACACTGTTTAACAGGAGCCTTTTTTCATCAGCACAATAGTTAAATCAGTTTCCATGATGACCGCACAGATGTTGATGAGGTTTGCGTTTTACATGAGGATAATGTCTCTTTTCAGCTCTGGTGGGTGGGGGCTTCTCCCCCTCCTCCACAGCCACATCAGGCTTCAGCAGCCAGGGAAGCAACACGCTGCCCTGCCCCACAGCTCCCACTGCTCCCACCAGCCCTCGTGGCTCCACTGGCAAGAGGAGGAACAGGAAGAAGGACCACAAAAGCTCATGTATGACACATCCTTCTCTTCGTCGTGTGTCTTGAATGAAGCTCGTTTAATGCAAAATCAAGAAAAGTCAACAAAAAATTATTTAGAAAACTAAATGCACTTTTTGTTTTTCTCATTTAGATGGTTAATGTGTCTGTAAGTTAAGCATTTCTAAGCAAAACTGGTGAATGGCTGTGCTTGTTTATTTACAGAAATGGATGAAGTGACTAAATTTACTGAACAAAACCGTAAACTTGGAAGTTTTGCAAAAAACATTTGCGTTTGAAAGGTGTTCCACCAACCAGCGTGAGCCCCAGTATTTAATCTTGTTCTTTCTTCTTTTGTGTTTAGCAGCAGATTCACTCTTAAATTTCTTCCTAAACATCCTCCCTCAACTCTATCGTTGTCCGATTCCTCCATATTTGTTTACCTACACATACCAGTACTATGACCAGCCCAATGCAGGTCACTCGGCTTTCATATTCATTTTGGTGGATTTAGCCAAAGCTTTGTTTACATTGTGCACATACCTGTATTTCAGGATTGTATATATATATTATGTATTTACTATACATATTGTGGGTGGGAAAGGTGAAACACCCACACCTCTCTCCACCCTCATTTGCCCCACTCTGGGTCCTTGAGCAAGGCCCTTAACCCCCAACATCTGCTCCTCTGGGCACCCTGCAGACAGCAGCTCTCTGCTCCACACAGAGGGCTGTGGCAGCTCGGTGGTTGTGTCAGGAAGGACATCCGGCATAAAAACAATCGCCAAGTCTTTGTGTGAGTTAGTTCGCTGTGAACATTCCTCCCTGAGGAAGGGAGCTGCTGAAAGAAGAAAAAAATACACATTGCATATATTTTTTTATTTTTGATTAATAGTTTGCAAAAAGTACTTTTTAAAAACTTGTATAAATGCAGACTTTTAGTTTAAGCGATCTAAGATGCCTGTATTTGTTGTTGGTATGTCGTAGTTCAGAGTTTTCTTCAAGGTTTAATCTGAGTTAAGACCTGACAGCTGATGTAAATATGATCACGTGACTCGTTCTGTTTCCATGTTTTGGACTGCTTCACCATTTTCTTAAACCCTCTTCTACAAGTGTCTTTCCTGCGCCATTTTTCTGCCACTTCACTGATATCTTTGTGTGACGTGTCCTCCCTTCCTTCCTCTCCCTCAGTATCCCTGTCGTCCAGTTCTGTCGGCCCAGGGGGGCAGGTTTTTCATGTGGAAACAAGTGAAGTCATCCTAAGGGGCGATCCACTCACAGGGTTTGGGATCCAGCTGCAGGGGGGTGTCTTCGCCACAGAAACGCTGTCTGCTCCCCCAGTCATCCGCTTCATTGAGCCAGACAGCCCAGCTGAGAGGTAACAAACACACCGAGCCTGAGCAGAACCAGAGTGTTTTAAATGAAGTCACCTTGAACCACAATGATAATCATTCAGGACATCGGGGGGGGGGGGGGGGGG